CTATCAGGAGAATCCAGAAGTGGGGCGATTTATTGATCGAGTTCACAGCTGGCCCGATGTTGTGGAATACCATTGTGGTCAACGTGTCCGACGGTGCTTTTGACAACCTGCCGAAGCCCAGATCGCAACGAGGACGCTCCATCATGTTAGGTGACGAGAAGATCAGCGAGGTCCGCAGGCACAAGTACAAGGTACATTGCATTGGGTGACAGTCTTCAAAGATTCAACGAGTGGTGCGATCAACTCTATCGGCGGAGGCGTACTTATGTGCAAATCCGCTGGGTATGTTGATTTGGACAAGGTCAACCCTGGCGGAGACCCTGTACCCAGAAATGGATGCGGCCGAGATCGCGCACGACACCTGTCGGGTGATATGCATTTCGGTGACCGACTGCAAGAGCCTGTATGACACGATCGCGAAGGAGAAGGTATCTGTGACAGGTAGGAGGATTATTTTTAGAGGCGGCTGTACTACGTCAGTCACTAACGCAGGTCAGCATCAAGTGGGTTAAGATCGAGCAGATGCTAGCGGAGTGTTCGACGAAAGTGCTTCTGGGAGGCTGCGCGCGGAATATTGTGATATCCAATGCGTGGACTCTTGGACCTGATTACAGAGCGCCAGCAATGCGCGGACGAAAGCCAGTTGGACCAGAGAAGGTGGCATCCAACAAGGAGGTCGACGACCTGAACGCGAAGATGATCAAGTACGTCAAGCAGGGGCTTACGGCGACACCGAGGGGAATGGTGAGATTTCCACCTGGCCGGTGGAGACGTGCACTTACGTGGGCGAGTGTTCCTACGACGAGAAGGACGAGACTTACGACGAGACCGAGTATGCTGAAGCATGTTACATGGACGACGCGACGGACAATTACCCAATGGAAAGGAGTGGCGCGCAGCAAACCATCCAGATACATGGCCAAGTTGCAGTTGTGCTTCAATTCTGTGCACTCGCAGTGTATGCACTGAGTTTGTTGTCGATGTCTCCTACGGTGGTGACGTTAGTCACTATCATCGCGGAAATCATCATGTTCATCCACGCAATGCAGCCTAAGCGGAGCGACGGCGAGGTTTCGGCACGGAACCGATGGAGGTGGATAGTTCAAGCAGCGACAGCCTTTCCAGGGTGGAGTTGCCCAGCAAGCTGGCGCAGTCCAAGACAGCTACACAACGTCTGAAGACTGAGCCCGAGGTGGAGACGTACGCCGACGAGATTACACTGGATGGGCAGATCTACCTGGGGGATAGTGCTCTTCTGAGGCAGTGCCTGACTACATTGGGGCCGATGCGCATCGAGAGTCGCAAGTATGAGGGCGACAGCTTCGCGGCCACATGCAGCAAGGACAAGCACTACGCCAATTGCTGGGGCCGGCGTCTGAAGCTTGACGCAGACGAGAGCAGGGGCTACAACCTCGATCCGAGCAGCAATACCTACAGAGTCTACAGCATCATCAAGTCAGCTCAGGTACACTGATATGCACTACCAACTATGTTGGCGATGGGGTGTGGAAGATGTGATGTGCGCACCCTCTCACATGAAGAGATGATGTGTGCACCCCCTCATCAAAAGCTCATATGAAAATATGTAATATTTTGATACATGTCGCTCGGTGCAGGGGCGGCGGTTTGGCCGGTCGAGCCGGCAAGAGTATTCCTGACTATTCTAGAAGTTTGCTTCAGAATTTGCTACGCATTATTTAGCCGTGTTTTTTTCTTGCATGGAAAAAGGGTGCGCAGGGATGTGAGATTTAGGACGGTAATGAAAATTATCTCTGCTGGTGCTGCCCTCGCTCGCTCGCTCGCGCGTTGTGCAGCGCCCCTCTGACCCGCAACCGCTGTGGCTCACAAGCTAGGCGGGAGGGTGGACGCACCTACTCGCGTGTGGTTTGGGTACGGGGATAAAAGATCGTGTGTCCTTCTATCTTGTGATTGCATCAAGTACTGGTGGGAGGGATATTGTCTTGCGGCCTATATTTGCACAACGCAGGCGGGCAAATGCCATCCACCTGCCACGAGCGTGAATCATTCGCATGTTTAGCCAAACGGTGGTATTGCACAGTCTCTTGATTGTCAGGGTCACCAAAACGTTGCCGTCCGAATATCCAAGCCTCCGTTCCCCATTCCTCGCGGTCAGCCGTGGCTTGGCCGTTGATGAACATCACGTGCGGCACAGGAGCAGGCGCGAGGCAGTCTGTCATCTTGGCGATGCGGTTGTGGTGTGTCAGCCTAGCCGCCCGCCGTCGAGCGCATCGGAGTAACAACGCTGCGGCGCGCTTGGCATCTGGACGATCCAACGCCACTGCGCGCCTGGCTGCGTTCACCGGCTGAGTACGGCATGTGCGATTGGTATTTAAACGGGCATGCCGCGTACTGAAGGAGATGTCGGAAGAAAGCACATTTTGTACCAAGTTGCATAGTAGTCAAATCTGAATGCGGGTACTCGAATGCAGTATGTTCTAAAACGACTTGACTCTGTTACGTCGTTCGGTTTCCACCCCGTCGTTCTGATCTGATGCCTGGCGGCCGACACCTTGAAGTAAGGCGCGCCCACTTATCTTATCACGGGTCGGTGATCGGAGCGATAGAAGAGGCAGTGGTCGATGTTGACGGCTCTGTCGTGACTTGTGACCGGCCCACTGACCATCAAGAAACCGATATGCACCTGCGTAGCATTTCTACCCTTTGCCATTCGTGCCCATACACTACTCCAACATCTCTTGGGAAAGGCCTGTGTCATCGAATGTGTTCAGCGCCCGGCAGCCCAGCGCCTCGACCCACGTTGTGAAGACTCTCGTTTTGGCCGCTGTATGGCTGGAGCGTGGTTTCAAAATTGCATGTCCAGAAATATTATCCAATTCGTGAGGTAAGCTCACATACGCATCCACGCCGAGCACAATTTCGAACTCGAGTGCCGTATACTTCGCCCTGACCTCCTGAATGAATTTTACGGTGTCCTGGAACATTGTGTCTGCTCGACCTCCTTCATCGAGATGGTGAAACACGTGAGCAGAAAGAAAAATGCACTGGCCCAAGGCAACCCCACACCAATAGTCGCCAAAACGTGTATCTCGTACAGCAGGCACCCAACGGCTAGGGAGAACAACGCTGCAGTCACAACCCGACCTCGCAATCACAATGTGGCAAGAATACCTGCAATGGTCAATATGCCCCCAAGCTGGTGTCTCTTGGAGTCACCCCATGAATTCCCAAAATTGCTGACGAACCAAACGACAAATGCGAGCAGCAGCATGGTGGCTCTTCTTGCATGTGTTCCAAGATACTGCCGTGAATTCTCGAAGTCCCTGCTCGTTCCCTGCGGAGTCTCACTTCTGACGGAATCCCGCAAACTCCGCCTCAATTTGCGCAACCAGCACGTTGAAGGCAACGCGGATTCTTCCTTGGCACCTTTTGATCTTCGCGTCTTGCCCGATGGAACCCACTGTGGCCAAGCCCCCTGGCCCTTGGACGGTCAGCTTGAACTCCGGTTTCCACGAACACTCAGCCGCTCCTTGCCCAGCCAGTTTGCTTCGCAGGAAAGCCCTGGCCTTGCCCGCGGTGTTGTAACGCATTTGATCCTCGGGTTCACGCTCCGCTATGGCTACAAGTCTCTGCCATTAAAGTTGAGCTCTGGGTCGGTGTCGGGGGCTGCACGTAGACTCGTATCTTGTACGCTTCGGGGCCGAACACCTCCAACTCCCCGATTTTCGGCAGGAGGGTAGCCGGGAACGCACTTTTCAGCTTCTCGAGGATGGCTTCTGCCTGGATTTTGGTGATACCCTTCGCGCGCCTCTCCTCGAACTCGCAGAAGCCCTTAATCTCGACGAAGGTGGGCCTGAACTTCATGGGATCACCACCTGATGATGAACATCCGGATTGCAAGTAGTCCTCTAACTTGCCCTCCACGGCTTTGATTCGGTCGTCGTGATCGTCGACCTTCTTCTCGACCTTCGATATCTTTGTCATCAACGGGCCCAGCTTGGTATCGAAGAGCTGGCCCATCGCTTCCATTGTGACCTGAGACATGCTGGAGAGGCTACATAATATCGGTACCAATCGTTGCAAAATCCCTTTGGCCTTGGGCCTCGTCGTTCTTGAGCCAAGATGGCTACGGTGGTGCCTCCCATGCCCCTCGTACCTGCTCCTTGGCATGTTTGCATGTTGTTTTTCTCTTTCTCGGCGAGGACCATCAAGTAATCAGCATTTGGGAACATATTGCGAAACATTACACGCACGAAGCCACAACATGCACAGGGAATGGACAGCCAGAGGAAGAGCGTGAGCTCGCAGTAGTCGCCGAACCGTTGTCTGCCTCGTCCTCCCCACCCTCCTGCAGTCAAAGCCCATGAGATGGGCGAGGTACTCGTACTTCTCCACAGACCCCGACGTCATGATATTTTCATGACGTCGACCCCCAGAGGTCCCGACCTATTCCCTGGGACCGGTTTTCATCCCGAGTCGTTTGCCGGTAAGGGCCCCCAGAGGCCGAAAGTGACGAACAAATTGTCCGTCGTGATTTGTTCATGACTCGCGGAGGTCTGGGTCCAGAGATGCCCTCACAACTTTTCCATCCGAGCCCCTCCATGGGGAATCTCCCAGGCCAGCCCCCTTCCTGAGCACCGCTGCGGCGGGCCATGCGTCCTCGGACGCCCAAGGGCCACGCATCCTCATCTCCCTCTGACGGATGTTGACTGCACCCCCTTCCCATGGGCCATTGTCTTCATCCCCGTCCCCGAACCTCGAAGAACAACAATTCTGCACAAGCAGAAATTTTCGTAGGTCCGCGCGGATCTCTTGGATTGGCGCTCGGGCCCCCCCTGGCGGCGCCTGCGGCGCCGCCCATGGCGCGCTTCGCGCGCCAGGGAGGGGGGTCCAGCGCAGATCCAGGGAAGCTGCACGAACTTCCAAAAATTCTGCTTCTAACGTGTTGTTGCGCCTCCAGAGCCGCCCTCGCCCCAGAGGGCGGGCCATCGCACCGCCCCCCCTTCCGAAGCAATCCCCAGGCACCGCAGGCTGCCCCGCGCTGCCCCGCCGCGGAGAAGGAGAACTGCCGGCCCACCGCCGACGACCGCGAGGATGCACCTCGTGGGGCGGGAGTGGGGCCACTTGTCAAGGAGGCAATGCTCTCGCCGCCTCATATCGCCATGAAGGCAAGAGCCGCCACGAGGGTGCGAAGTTGCTCGCGGTTCGCGGTCTGCTTCCTTTCTCCCGCTTCCCCTTCCTCCTTCTCCTTCTCTTCCTTTTCATCCTCCTTCTCCTCCTTCTCCTCCTCCTCCTCCTGTTCCGTCCCCGAGGGTGGGGGCCTGGCACTTGTTCTCATGGTGTCAGCGCCACACGCTCCTCGGGGCACAGTGTCAGTGTCAATTGCATGCGGCGGCTGGGGGCAGATAGACCGGCTTTCGTCGTTTTTGCACCAGCCACGTGGCATTTTGCCCGTGGCAGCGGCGCGTTGGCCGCGCCCGTGACCTGGAGATGGGTACCAGGCACGGGGAGTGTGCATTTGGTTGAGAGGCGGGGCCATGTGGTCCGTAAGTCCCTTGGGACCTTTTGTCCGCTCACCCTGGGGTACAAACCCAGTTGCACATGCCATCCGATCCGGCAGGGGTGGCGGTCGGGAACTACTGCGCGATGACGCGATGAGCCGGCTGTCCCCCTACGCACCACGCCGTCTCGTTTGGGCAGCGAGTCGCTGAGCGACGAGGTATTTGCCTTTCCCCTGACCGTCGGTGTTGGCGCCCGCGGGCCCCTTCCTCCTGTCTGGGAGGCCTAGGGTGACGGTTGAGCCTCGCTCGCCGTTCACTTTTTTGGATCTACGACACTCATGACACTCTTCCTCTTCTTCCTCCACGTCATCCCTCCTCCTTCTTCTCAGTATCATCCTCCTTCTCCTCCTCATCCTCCTCTTCTCTCCTCTTCCTTTTCCACCTAGTCGTCGTCCTCCTCCTCCCCGTCCTCATCTTCATCCTCATCCTCATCGGCATCCTCTCTCCTCCTGCTTCTCCTTTTTTTCGTCCTCCTCCTTCTTCTCCTCATCTCCCTTCCCCTCCTCTTCCTCCTTTTTTTCTCCTCCTCCGCCTCCTTCTCCGTGTTCGTGGCCAGTCTGGAGCAGGGGCACTTGCGAGAGATAGGCGATGTTCTGAACCATGACACCGACGAAACCTTCCTTGCACCTTGGGCCACAGAACGCGACAAAACGTATGATTTCGATTCGGACGAGAACGGCCAGCATGTTGAGCGATGCCTCACTAGCGATATGGTTAAATTTGCTCTGTCGCAGCAGCGGGAGCCACTACATAACGACAAAGTAATTACAATGTGTGTGTGTGTACGCCTCAGCCGTAGCTAGCAACAAATGCGGTCGCCAAGGGCGACAGCCTCTTGACAAAGGCAGAAATACAGGCAAACTCGATCGAAATGTCCAAAGCCGGGTACACGGAACGCAAGATATGGCATGGCAACGCATGCCTTGCGATGCAGGAAATTATTTACGCTTCGCGTATCCCCACCAGCCCATCTCACAGCAGCAACTCTTGCGAAGCATGCCGACAGTCGTGTTTTTCAGGCGTATGTCCGCTTGGCCCCGCATATCTCCCTTGATCCTCCTTCCTCCCGCCTCCTTGTACATCCTCCTTGTGGGGGGAGCGGGAGAAGGACGAGGCGGAGGAGGAGAGAGAGAAAGCGCTCCTCGTGATTTGAGTCGTTTGGGGTTTCTCGTCCTGGTGTGAGTCGTTCGGGCCCTTCTTCCTGGTGTGAGTCGTTCGGGCTCTTCGTGGTGTGAGTCGTTCGGGCTCTTCGTCCTGGTGTGAGTCGTTCGGGCTTCTCGTGGTGTGAGTTGTTCGGGCCCCTCATCCTGGTGTGAGTCGTTCGGGCCCCTCCTCCTGGTGTGACTCGTTCGGGCTCCTCGTGGTGTGAGTCGTTCGGGGCCCGCGTCGTGGTGTGAGTCGTTCGGGCTCCTCGTGGTGTGAGTCGTTCGGGCGCCTCGTCCTGGTGTGAGTCGTTCGGGCCCCTCCTTGTGGTGTGAGTCGTTCGGGCTCTTCGTGGTGTGAGTCGTTCGGGCCCCTCGTCCTGGTGTGAGTCGTTCGGGCTCCTCGTGGGGCCTCTTGGGGGCCTCTTGGAGCCTCTTGGAGCCTCTTGGGGGCCTCTTGGGGGCCTCTGGGGGGCCTCTTGGGGGCCTCTTGGGGCCTCTTGAGGCCTCTTGGGAGCCTCTTGGGGGCCTCTTGGGGGCCTCTTGGGACCGCTGGGGGGCCTTTGGGGTGCCTCTTGGAGGCCTCTTGGGAGCCTCCTGGGAGCCTCTTGGGGCCATCTTGGGGCCTCTTGGGACCTCCTCAGAAGCGCAAATGAGAACTGCCCCCTGAGAAGGACAAAATGAGCCCAAAACCTTCGTAAAAACAATGATGTTGCTATGAAGGAAGATGAGCGCGGCCCCCTCAGGACGCCAACATGGGGCCAAAACCGTAGTAACATCAACGATTTTGGCTTAAAAGAAGAGCAGAGGGGCCAAACTGTATCCCCCCGACGGGGCCAGAATCCTCGTGAGGGTCGTCGTTTTTTGGCCCTCCCAGGAGTCGGAAAAGACCCCCCTGACTACGCCCCGGACCCCCTCTCCAGGCCCAGGGGGAGGGGGTAGGGGGAGGGGTAAACCCCTCCCCGAAGGGGAAGAAGGGGGGTTGAAGACAGAGCGGGCTCTCTAAACCACTCACGCCCAAAGGGCTGGTGGGATTCAAAATATTGAAAACATCATGACATGTAGATACGCGTGCCAGTGGAAGCTTGTCAAGAATGACATAGGCGAGAGGGAACGAACTATTCGAGTGCGTATGTTTTTTTTTTTTCGTGGCTTCATGGACGTCGAAGTTTTCGGTGTAGAAGCGTTTTCAGGCACAGTTCGTCGAGCAAGCCAAAGTCTGCTTGTCAGCGCGGCCGCGTGCAAGAAACAATGGGTCATAGCATCCATGGGTGCCGATATGGTTTCCTTGATAGGCCTTACTTATCAAGAGCTGGCAAAGGCCACCAGGGAGAAAGAGACCATGGTTTGTTTTTTTTCTTCCACCTGGTTCAGCTTCGGTGTTGTCGACACTGCCTTAAGCCGAGCGCAAGATGCTCTTGGGGCGTTCTTAATGCAAATCAGGACTATCACGCGAGGTTGCGGGCTAAAACCCACTTCATATGATGAAGAATGTGAGGCAAGCCCAAGCTTCTTAACAGCCAAGCACATCGATGACGTAAACATGACAGGAAGGTGTAGAAAAGTACGCTTGGCGCATGCGAATTGAACGCGCGCTGCTATACCAACTGCGCCGCGCGCTATAATGGGACCGACGGCGGCCACGGCCAGCTAAATCAGGATGGGTACATCAAACATCTTCGCCCTATACAGCACCCAGAACTCACGGGCGCTGTAGCTGAAGACCAGGCAACGAATACAGTGCCCGACGCGTTCATCAGTTCACGCGGCGCCCTGGCGCATGCATGAATCACCCAGGTGTGGTTCATGGTGCACACGGCATCTGTACAAAGATCGCATGAACCCGCGAACCTCCAACTACGCAGGCTTGTGTATGTCTGTTGGGCCGCGATCGCGCCTCCAATTGAGATTGTCCCCGCTTGGGTGTGGCTGTCCGTTCTTCGATCCGTTGTATTACGCGTGGTGACATGTGTGCTTGGCCATGATGGGTCCCCTCGGTCACGGACTCACATGGGCGACCTCCGATTCGACCGGTTCGATTACGCAAGCGATTCGATTAATTTGCAACGGCGGACACAGGAACATCAGAGCGAAACGTCGAGATAAACCAAACAAGTCGGGAGACCTCCGAACTTTTCAGAAATTTTCAAGGATGTGGCTCGATGACAGGAGGAATGCACAAAACAACAGACTAAAATTCGCCGTTTCCTTGGAAAATGTAGGGAATTCTCGACGCATCGCGTATCCCCACCAGCTGCCCCTGTCGAGACCATCCCGCTTCCTGGATCTGTCTTTGGAGCCGTCAATCAAAAAAAAGTATCCCCACCAGCCCCGCGCTGAGCCCCCCACGTGCTGCCCCCCGTACAGCCGCAGGCGCTTGCGGCTCCCGTACAGCCCCACGCCGCAGTCACGGGACACAGCACTGCCAGCTAATTACCCGCCATTTTGGCGTGCACTTCCGGCGGTTGCTAGCTGCCGATTGCACCCACTCCGTGAGCGGTGCGCGGCTCGCCCCGGCTAGTCTCACCTCCCGCTGTTTTTTTGTTCTCTGTCTCTCTCTTTTTTGTTGGTTCTCTTTTCCTATCTCTCTCTCTCTCTCCCTCTCTCTCGTGTACAATTTCGGCTCCGGCTTGTTAGCTGTAGCTTGGACGGCGCGCGGCGGCCTTTCCGTTTGCGCTTGCGAACAGAAAAGTACCCCCCCAGCCCATCCAGAAACGATGTCTAGGCGAGTTGAGGTGATCGGGGAAGTGCGGGAGCCAAGAGGGGGCGGCCGAACCGCGCGAAGGAGGGGGGATTAGAAGGAGGAGGTTGGATGGATGGATGAGGGAGTGGGGAGACTGAGGATGAACAGGATGAGGAGGAGGAGGAGAAGGAGGAGGAGGAGGACGACGACGACAATTAAGGAACAGGAGGAAGAAAGAGGAGTAGGAGGAGGGCAAGCAAAAGAGCCAGAGTTCTCTTGGATGCTACTTGGGGCCTCTTGGGGTGTCTCTTTGGAGCTTTTTGGTGGCCTCTTGGGACGTCTTGGGGGTCTCTTGGCGGTCTTGGGGGGCTCTTGGGCGTCATGGGTGCCTCGGGGGGGGCCCTTGGGTCCTTTGGGGGGCCTCCTGGTGGCTCCTTGGGGGCCATCCTGGGGCCTCTTATGGCCTCCTGGGCGTTTGCTTGGGGCCATCTTGGAGGACATCGATCGAAGAACAAGGGGGCTCCTTTTAGCCATGCCCTCCCACGAGGCCGAAACGGGGCCAACATCATAGTGAAACCAAAAGTTTTGGTTTCTCGGCGACGCCGTTGTGGGCGCTTTAACTACCCGCGACCGTCCTGGTCCAGGTCCAGGGGAGGGGGTATGGTGAGGGGTCAACACACCCACCCGCCCGCAAGCCGTCTAGCTCACTCCCTCCCGCCCTCCCCACACATAAGTAACACACGAGCCTGAGCATGTTCAGCGGTCGTTTTTGGATGGACAGCTACTGGAAACCAAAAGCCGACCCCAGGCGCGCGACGTTTAGGCGAGGTGCGCCACGCGTGCCCGGGGCGCCACGCGCGCCAGGCACCCATGGGGCCCGAGCGTGCCAGGCACGCTTGGCGCGCCAGGTGTGCCACGTGCTCCAAGTGCGCCATGTGTGCCGCACATTCCAGCCGCGCCAGGTGCGCCGCGTTCGGGGCACGTGCAGAGCGCGTCAGGTTCGCTTGCGCACGTGAGAACGCACATCGGGAAACATGCCCGCCCCCGCCATCTTTGTCGAAAGCCGATGCCCATCATTGTGTCAGCTGGGCCTGCGCACAGCAGGCCACGCGCCACCACCCCCGCCGTCCCTGCCAAGAACCATTTGACAGCGCATGATCCAGATTTCGCCGCGAGGTGCATGTTGTATTGCTTTGTGTCATGGGCGGTAGCCCTGCGCGCAGCAGGGAATATGCTGACACCCCCGCCGTCCTTGTCAAAAACAATACGAAGTGCTCGCGGGCCTCGCGAACATGATTCAAGACTTTGCTCCAATGTGTACGTTGCATGCATTGTTTTGTGACAGGGAAGTGGGGGGGATGCGCAAGTCCAGCTCACATGGAAAGATGGGGAGAATCCTGGGATCATTCATCTTCGTTCCCTGGCCCCCTCACGACCTGCGCAAGCGGTGCGATCGTGCGATTGAGGCCAGGGCCTTCGGCCGCCGAGCGCGTGTGCGATCTCATGGGCCGCCCGAGGAGTTCAGCCGCCTCCGCATCACGGCGAGGCAGGTCGACCCGCTCCTGTGGTCCCAGGCTCGCGGCTACCGAAGGGCAGCCCAGGGCAACGTTTCAGTGAAGACTCGGTCGTCGCGTAATTGGGGGGAGGGGCGATACATTGGGGGGGCAGCTAAGGCTTCAGCGAATGGGTCCGTTAGGGCCCCTAGAGGGTCCCTTCCCCCAAAGGAAGCCTCTAGGGCAGTGCACCTCTCTCCCTTCCCACTTCTCGCCCACCCCCCCCCCAAACCATCGACGCCCAAAAGACGCTGAACTGAGGACCGCTGAGGGCTCGGGCGGGGCTCTGGTCGTCGGGCTGTTCTTTGGATCGAGGTCGGGGAGCCCATCCGTGGCCGAGGCTCGCCGTGGCCAGGAGAGCCCCCGTCGCTCCTTGTTCAGCGCTCCTTGTGCGACAGGCTCAGGGGGGACGCGAGCGGCAGTCGGGGGCGGTTTTCGGACGTCTCCGTCGGTGCCCGGCGGGTTTCCAAGCCTCGGGATGCCTTCCGCAGCTGCGCCTGGCCGAGGGCGATCACAGGGGTGCCCGGATCGTCCCGAACGGCCGCCGCCGTCCCGAGTCAAGGCCCGGAAAGCAAGGGGCAACGTGAGGGGAGCACAGGGTCAGGAGGGGACGCATCGACCCCCAATCGCCCACTGATCGCCGACAGGGGCTCGAATGATAGCCTACCCCGCTCAGGACACTGCGGGCTCGCTTTCGGGGGCCCATCGCAGATCTACCGGCGACATATCACCGATCTCGGCGTCGCAACTTTCTCGCACCGGGCGGTGTCGCCCGCCCCATTTCGAGCTGTGGGGCCTTCGCGGATCAATCTGGCTCGAGAAACGCAGCCGAAAGATGGAAAAACGCGTGTCATGACTTTGAAGGATGTCGCATTTTTGTCGCGACGTCGGATCTCGGGGCAGGCTTCACCAGCCTGGGGGAGCGAGAACAGGAGGAGTTCGGGCAGCCGCTGTCGCCATGAAGGAAGCGTGTCCTGAGGGGAAGGGTTCCCGGGCCTTCTGATCTCTTTTCGGGCTCCTTGGGCCTTCCACGGGCACTGGGACTGTCAGACAACGCCTCGGGACGAGGAACTGTCCCCCGGCCCCGCCCCCCTGGCGCAGGCCCGGGGATTCAGGACCCGTTTGCGCTGGGAGCCGCTTGCTTCGTGCCAGCGCAGGGTACGAAGAGGTCGTTCCGCAGCGCTCGTGGTGTCAGCCGCGGGGGCGAGAAGGTGATCGCGCTTCGCGCGTCGCGGCCCGGGGCCAGAAGGTTTGCGCATCGTTGAACCGATCCCTATCTGGCGTGGCCTGGGCCTCACTCGCCGATTTACACCGCTAGATGGGGTTTTTGGCTGCTCCCTCGGGTCTCGAGTGGCATACCCGCCAGCTTGAGTGGTGGGATGGTTTGGATGGGGATGGGGGGATCGGTCAGACGATGCTGAGTGTCGTCCTTCTCCAGGGAGGGCGGCGCGAGAAATCTGCAGAGAGCTCACCGCGAGCCGCGGCGCGGAGCTCGAACTTATGAGCGACCAGTGGCGACCCTCGAAAACCGAAGGGAGCAGTCTACATCCCCATCTAGCCGGGTACATCGGCCAGTGGGGCCCAGTTGTTCGTGGGCCCATGTTGTGAAGGCGCAGCGCCGCGCGTGCCTCTGCTCCTGCCTCTCTCTCCCCCTCCTCCGCCTCCGCCTCCTCCTCCTCCTCCCGCTCGACAATGCTCAGGGTTGCCCGTGCGGCGCGAGAGATCTGCAGAGAGCTCACCGCGAGCCGCGCGGCGCGGAGCCCGCGAATTTTTCTGGGGCGGCCCGTCGCCTCAGAGGAGCACCCTCGGGGCGCTCTCCTGGGGCGGCCGCGGGCGCCCCAAGCGCACCGCCCTGGCCCGCCGAGGCCCCCAGGCGGGGCTCATTTCGACTCCTCCGATGCTCAGGAGGGGGAACAACACACAGACACAATTAATCGTCGCATCCCCAGAAAAAAAAAAAAAAAAAAATGGAAGTGGGGGGGAAAACAGAGACCAAGAAGATGGGAAAATATGGGGGATCCTTTTATTTGTGTGTATTTATTTGTGTGTCCCAGGGCCCCTTCAGATGCGATTGGATTCGGTGTCGATAGCTTCCAGCATGAATCACGTTGTGTTTACCCTCGATGGTGACAACGACGATGACGACGATAACGATGACGCTGACGATGACGTCATTCTTCGTCATCGGTATCGTTATCCTCATCATCATCATCATCATCATCATCAGCATCATCATCATCATCATCATCATCATCATCATTATCATCATCATCATCATCATCAACACCATCAATATCAGCATCATCAACAGCATCAGCATCAGCACCAGCACCAGCATCAGCACCGATATCATCATCACCACCACCGTCGTCGTCATCGTCATCGTCATCGTCATCATCTCCCCTCTCCCCTTTCCCCTTCCCCTGACTTGGCGCGCCAGCCGCGCTCTCTCCCCGCGCGTCCTTCGTGGATGCACGGCTTCCTTGTCACATCGTATCGTCGACAGGTTGCGATTACGATTTGAATCGGCCTCGAATTCCGATGTGGGTTCCGATTTCTGCATGGAGGCCCATTGGTTTGCCGATCTCCGCGGATTTGATTTCTCCCGATTCGTGCTGCTGGTTTTCTCCGATCCGATTCATTTTGATCGCCAAACCGACTTCTGGACCGATTCTGGGTTCCCTCCTGCCAGGGATCCCCGAGTCATCCGTAGATAAGCGGCTCGTTCGTATCCTGTCCCCGCGCGTGTGAGCATTCCGTATGTCTTGGCTCGTCAGTCGGAGAGAGAGTGTGAGAGAGAGGTCGCACGCGATTAGTCCTCCTCAGCCCCAGAATTGTCGACAAAAATGAAGATCCTTAAGAGAGGAGGGAGACCCTGGGATACACCCAAAGGTGGCCATTCGGACGCACCCCTATTGAGGATGGGCGCCCCCCCATCGTCTGTCCCAGGGTTGGGCGCCAGATGTCTGTTCCATTCGGAAGCCCCACGACGCCTGGGATAGGGGTCGACATATCCCCTGTTAGAGTGAGCGGCACATGTATGAGTGCACACCTGACTGCTGCTCTCCCCCCCTCGTGGGCAGGATGCCCCCCCCGACTGCAGTGGGGCAGCTCCCTCGTCAGACTTCCCCCCAGAGTTTCCGAGAAACACCACTGCACACCCCAGAGACCAAGGGCGCCCTCGAGGGCGCGAAGTTATTCGCGCTTCGCGGTTCGGCTCCGATCCCTCCTCGTCTTCTTCTTCTCCCTTGGGGGGCGGCGCGAGAGCACGAAGTTGTTCGCGCTTGGCGCAGCGCGAACCGCGAAGTTAGGAGCCCTTGCAGAGACCCCCTGCGCGCTCATGGACTTGAACGATCTCCCTTGAGAGAAAGCCGACGTCACAGAAAAAAGGTACAGCGTCGCAACAAAAACCTCGACCCAATCCCCAGACCCCATCTTTCTTTTGCATTTCTCGAGCAGGATCGATGTGTGATGATCCCAGGGCCCGAAAGAGGGCGACATCGCCCGTGGTGAAAACATGCAATGCCCAGATCTCGGGGTCCTTCGCCAGCCTCGATGTTTTGCGGATTTCGTAGGGCGTTTTCGTTTTGCTCTCGTGTCACAGCAAAGGCAGAACGAAGACAGAACGAAGGAAAACGACAACACAACAAAAACGATAAACACTGTTTAGCTCGAGCCCTGTCTTTCGCCTTGTTTTTCCGCCCCCTCCGTTGTCCTTCCTGCCGGGCCCTGGTGCACCTCCGCCCCCCCGCAGGAGATCAGGGGCAAGCACCGGCTGGTGGTGCCGCTGTCACGGCTGGGGCCTCTCCGGGCCAAGCAGCAGAGCCAGGATTGCACGAGGGGGAGGAGCCTTGGCATCGCTCGGACCTGTGCATTTTTCTTCGGCGAGGACCATCGAGGAGCTTCCTGGATCATCGTGGAAAATAAACGCAAGAGGCCGGCAAATGCACGGGGCATGGTTTTCCAAGCGATGGCAGGGAACCGTGGGCCCCCAAAACGGTGCGTAGCGCACACGTTGTGGTTTAGCCTCAGAGGAGAAAGAGACGCGTATGCATCTTCCTGAGCTCCCCGAGGTCTGTCACCGCACGGTGTTGGGACCTTGGAGGCCCCAGTCGCCCGAGACGTCGAGAGCAGCGAGGGGGACCCAGACGTCATGCGTCTTGAAAAAATCACGACGGCAGATCACGACGCCAGATGGTTCTTAGTTTGGGGTTTCGGGGGTATCATTCCCCCCCCCATCCTGCCATCCTCCTCACCCCCCATCATCATCGTCATCATCAGCATCATCATCAGCAGCAGCATCATCCGTAGTCATTTTGGCTCAAGTTCGAAACGTGCGCCCCTGACGTTTCGAACTCATTGGGCGCTGCCGAAGGGACGAGTCAAGCGTTTGCCAGAAGTTGCACAGCCATATTTCTCCCCTGTCGTGAGCTGCCCGAGCGGCCACAGTGTTTCGTTTCACGTTCGCATGTTGTCAGCCTCATCCGCCAGTCATGGACTAAGCAACGCTTCGTCCCCCGCTGAACGAAACACGGACGCCAACCAACACACATATCAGTGACATCCGTGAGGTGCTGAGTCGGACCTTCGGGAATGCCAATGTTCTCGGCGCTTGCCTGGCCGAGGAAATCCTGCACAGCACAAGCCTGATTGAGAAGATGCAGTGTACCATCCAAAAAAACAGAGCGAGAGGACGACCCTATTCATTGTTGAAGTTGTAAGTTTGCCACCAGGAGTTGCCGACGGCATGGGCACCAGCAAACCGGCAACCACATATTCTGCGGCTGCTCGCATCCACGGAATGAATCATAGCCATTCCGAACCCGAGCGCAACATTTAAGAAGGACCGCGTTCGCCTCTCGGCGTTACCCCCCGCATGTTTCACATGGTTTGCTCCATCGGTCAAACCAATAATCCCAGCGGATGAGACCAACGTATGGACACGAGCTATTCCCAAAAAGCAGCAAAACAAGCAGGTCTCTTTCGGGCGACACTTCACAATCGTGAGGTTGCGCACGCCAGCACAGCACAGTAACAAGTGCTACCCGATATGTCAGAGCCCGGGGCTCTCGATCGCAATCATCCCCGACGGCCCAGGCGACCCCCGCGCGTTCCTCGGGAAGTCCAGGGATTAACGCATTCGTTTCACACACACCTCCCTGGGCACCCGCTTCGATCTGGGGACCGGCTTCGGCGAGCCGTGCGACATCAAACATCAAAAGGCTCCATCGTGGCATTGCTCTAGAAACCAATATGCGCCGACTTGAGGACGAATCAGAAGTAGACGTCCAACGCCATGCTCGCGTCCAACAAATACCAAGGCGTCTGCAACACCGCCATCTATGACGAGCCAAGTGGCCTGGTTCATCGATCTTCGCGGACTGAGGTGCAGGTGGCCACCGACGCTGGCAAGGACGCCCTATTCGACATCAGCGCTCCCTGGAAACAAACGGGCGGAGACCTTCAAGCCGCGGTGTCTTATTCGCATCGCGAACACGCGTTTCCTGAACTGACGCCGCTGAGATTGGAGCTGCGGCGTGCCCTGAACTCGCCAATGCTGCTGAATATCGCCCTGGCGCTGGCGTTAGGGATTCCATGCTTCTGCTAAAGGTGGTCGGGCATGGTGACCCAGTCAAGCAGAAGAGTCGAACGCGCAAGCTCCGCGCGCTTACCAAGACACAAACTAGCGCGCACGCAGGGCCCGCATGGAACAGAAACTACTTCGAACCACTTCGACGCGACTGCCCATCGCGCGCAATTGCTCTTCTCGCGAAAGGTCGAACGCCCGCAACGCGACCGCCAGCGCTGCCATCTCTCCTGCCAGGCTTCGCGCCAGCCGAGGCAGACCGGCGCGCCCCTGGTCGTCTTGCTTCGCTGTCTCTTCGGCGACCCGGGCAGCCTGGGGTGCTGCAATATGCATTTGGACCCCGCCCTCAATTATCCCCGTCACGTGGCCATCCTGGGCAAATGCGCGCAATCCCGCCCCGCGCGCGCCCAGTTGATTGGCGCGCGTGGAAGGCGTCTCCAATTGTTCCGCGGCTGGAACGATTCACGCCGAGACAGGCGGCGCCCGCCAGCGGCCTGAGCGACCAGCGTTGCTGCGCCACTTCCTCTGATTTTTCCATCCGGCCTGGAGCTCGCCCAGGGGCCCGCGCGTCGATCTGGCGATCCTGGGGGGGGGGGGGGTGCGATCTTCTGGCGGGCCTGGCAGCCCCCGCATCCTGGCGGGCGCTGCAGCTGATGTTGGAAGCTAGACATACTGTTGGCGTCGTTGGATATGTGTCGAAAGCTGTTGAGCCCTGTGGCCGCGTCCTGGCCCTCGCTCCTTCCAGTCATGGCGCGCGCCGTTATCGGGCCGCCCGCTATGCTGAGCTGGCGCTGTCTAGCCGGCAACTTCATCGATGGCGGCGAGCGCGGCGGCAGCGCCTCCCTGGCCGCGCCAGAGACGCAGAGACGCGCGCGCGCATTGCGCCCGGCGCGCAAGTCTGGCACGTCCAGATACAGCGCCCAAGCCGACGCACGCCAGCTGGCGGCGCGCTGCTCGGCGCGCGAAGCGGTCATGCATCCGGCGCGATGCGCGCTGCGATCGAACCAACCTTGCCCCTGCGTGTGCACTCGCGGCGCGACCGTCTTCCTGGCCGAGAACGCCGGCGACGAGAATCCCCGCGTCGCGCCGACGGAGGGCTCTGAGACGAAACCGCTGCACTTGGCAGCGCCGATCACAAGACGCGTTCGTCGCCGCCCTGCCCGCGTCTAGCCGGCCAGCCCCGCGCGTCGCGCGGCCCGGCCAGGCGGGCGTCATTTAGCTGGGGGCACGCAAGACAACATCGCCCAGATTGAGAATTTCATTTTCTTGCGGACTCTTCGCCTGAAGGCGCAACGCGAGCTGGCCTATCTTTGTTGGCGCCGCCGCTGCATTCCCCGGCGCCGCCCGCCCCCCGGGCCATTTCGGTCCTGCGTCGCTTCAATGCGCGATCAATGCCGCGCGGCGCCGACGCGCGCGCCGGCGCGCGATGGGGGGCCGGTGTCTGCGGGGGATTTGTATTCAGAAGGGAGTCGCACATGGCTGCCGTCTTCGCGGTCCCCTTTCTGCCATGGCCCGCCACCGCCGCCGTCGCCACCACCTCACGAATGAGTCATATACACAGCACTCCCCATACAAAGCAGGTCATCTACAACAGCAGCCACATACAACACAGGTCATATACAAAGCATGATATACGAAGCATGCCACATACAACGCAGGCCGTATACAAGACATGTCATGACTTCCCCAAACTTCACCCAGATACGAGACTCCCTCGCGATAATTCCTCCATATTCATCACGACTCGCCAGGTTATCTCTTCTGGGTTTCTGGGTTTCTCTCCGTGCCCATGTTGGCTCAAACTTGGCTCGAACCATTCTGGCGCGTTGCGCAAAGTCATTGTACTGTTGGCGGTGCATGGGCCCTCTCGGTCGCGCTGCCAGCATTGGAAGTTCAATCGTTGATGCAAGCGTTTCACACTTTCAATCGGGAAATCTCGGGCCGAGGATTGGGCGGTCACATCGAATTCCATTGGGCGGTGTCGTGCAGTTGCTTCAGTCGCTCCAAGAGCAAGTCGGCGGGTGCGATCGCCAGGTTTTGGAACTGAGCCAAAAAAGCAGCCAGACAGCGAGTCTCAGTGGAACTAGACGGTGGAACGATCAGCATAGAGGGCGTTGAGGTTGTCGAAACCAACAACGTCCATGTTCGGGCGACCCCACCCCTCATCGAGCAGTTTCTCAACATCGATGTTGCGGCATTTCCCGAGATCGACTGGGAGAGGACTCTGCGAATCGCAGTGCCCCAGAGTTTCCAACCTGTTCATCGCGCTCGCGGCATAGACAGGGGCTCGGCTTCGCGGCAGTTGGCCCTGCACGCAGCAGGATATGGCGGCGCGCAGATTGCCCCAGGGAAGGTGGCCGACTACAGCAGCTCCAGCAGAGGCGATATTCTACAACTGGTCATCGCCCAGGACAAAAGGGTGTCCGAGCTAAACCACGAGAGGGATCAATTCCGGAAGTCACAACGAAAAGTGATGAAACCGAAAAGGCAATTGCATATTGAAAATGCCCAGCTGAATACAACCATAAAGGAGATCGGGTCTTGGGTGAGCGCGCGCGCCGGGGGGCATTGGAATGGGAATACGTACAAGGCATACTGCATGGCTATCAACAAGAACGAGGGCTACGCTGGGGCAGCGGTAGCAGTCAAAATGATGGCTGGTGGCGAGGGCGCTTTGGGCGGGAGGTTGAAGGACAAGGGCGCCATCGCAACTCACGAGCACATGGCTGCTGCCAGCAAGAGGCTGCGATCAAACATGTTCTTGGATACGGTTCCAGAGGGTGCGCAAGATGGTTGCGATGCTTCTGGAGCTGCGACGCGTCTGCGCGCCGTGGCCGCTGAGACCTTGCTTTATCAGGGGGGCGCCACGACCTCAGCCGCGCTCGATAATAAAAAGCATGTTGCAAAAGTCTCGCGTTCAGCAATGTTGATAAACACTGCGTGGCGCGACCGCTCTTGCTTCGATTTGGACAAGCTCCAGAACGCGTGCGTCTCCCAGCGCGCACTTTGCGACCTACAGGATGTTCGCGAAGGGACAGGCCAGGATACGTACTCTTTGATGCTCCGCGAGTCCGACTGCAAGCGCACCTACTTGGGTCCAGCGGCTTCGCGAGGCCAATGAGGCGAGAATTGCTTTCCTGAGCGCTGCAGTCGGCGAAAGTTGGACGCCGTGCACAAAACGCATCAGGGCGCCGAACCCAGAACGACGCCTCATCGCGATGGGGGTCGGAGTCCGACGTATG